CTAAAGGGTGGATAGGAGGGTGCCCAAGTTTTTATATGTATGAATTTTAAACGTGCATTTCGATCAACTCAAAACTCAGTATTTATACTTGAGATCTGATATAAAGAATAATCATGTGTCAGGGTTCTTTAAAACTCTAATCCTGATGGGGTGAAAAGCGATAGTAAATTTTACTGGGGAGTTTTTTACTGGCGGGCTTGATTTAATCAGAAAAGGGCTTAACGAATTTGTATATAACTTGGTACACATATAGTTTATTACCTGTATTGAAACAAAGGATAATATTCATCCCGAAAAAAATTTAGGTACCTGAGGGATTCTCAAAAAACTGAAGTTAACGTGGACGAAGACGCGGGCGGTCGCTAGTATTTATTTAAAAACTGCTTATTAGACGTCTTTAAAAACTCTATTGGCGTTCCATATTATCTTTGTTTAAATGTATGTATTCATTGACACTGTCATCATACTATACACGTGCTATACACCCTCTACTCTTAATGCCGTCTTTATTTTTTATTCAAGATCAATTATAGTTGTGTTTGAAATGTCAAACTTGTTTTGTCCAACAAGAAACTACTTACTTAAACTTTTACTTATTTATTTTTATTATATTAGTTGAATTCGGTATTTGCCTCATTAAATTTTACAGTAAATGTTGCCGAAGTCTTATGAGGACCTTTAACATTTTGTTTGATATTATTTTTATGAAACATATAATCTAATTGAAATAATCAAATTTTCAACAAAAAACACATTTTCAGACAGTTTTTCATGAATAATTCTAAAAATTGTAGCTTTATAGAAACAAACAAAATACTGGGCTTCATATACTTCTTTATTGAACACTAACGGACTACTTGTTTAATGCTGGATCTTCTTCGTCAAACGCCAAAATCGAAAGTTCACAAAAACAATGTATATTTTGGGGGAAAACTCATAAAACTTTTATACACGTGTAATGCCTCATAATTTGTGAAAAGATGAAGGACTCTTCTTTATCAGTATTGTAATATACATGTTTTTGACAACTATTAAATATTGGTTTTGGGTATTTTTACCATAAATTCCTTAGTTTATAAACTAGCAAGGTCAACAAATTATTTTGTAGGTCTTATCAAAAGCTATAAGCGGATGTATGGTAATTTATTTATTCCTTCTTATTTTTCAAAAGTTTTCCGCTACAACAGCTTGGAAATCGTTACTATTTCCGAACATATGTAAACTTGAAACGGAAGATTCTTACTAAATTTTAGTCAAAAAGAAAAAAAAAAACCTAAAAATTTTAACTTTTCGAATTGTGTTTTATATCTTTCATAGTTTTTGAGTTATTTTTTAAGAAAGAAAATTGTGTGCAGGCTTGCAAAAAGCTCTCTTCACTTCAACCTCATTTTTTTTTCAAAACTAAGCTATCTTTGGGCTCACCTAAAAGACTTGAGCCCGTTTTATAGAAAGATTTTCAGTAATTAATCTAGTCGTGAGCATAGTCAGAAAAGGATTATGCTATTTATATCACATAGCGACATCCCTTTCTAACTGTACTCAAGTAAAGATCTGCACTTAGTTTTCATTCTGTAATACGAGCCTTATTGAATTATTGAACATACAAATGTTACACAAGTAACATCCATTGAAGAGTTGAGGGAGAGGATATTTGCAGCTGCCGAACAAATGAAAACTTCACTTTCAATGCGAGTGACAGTGAGTGAAGTACGTCATAGGCTCCGTGCTTGCATACAAAATAATGATAGGCAGTTTGAAAAGGATTTGTATTATTTTTAAGACATCAAACTTTATCAATCAACATTGAATTTTATTCACAGTGTAGATAAACACTATTGACTTTTCGATGTGAATTCAATTTACAAATCAAAATGAAAAGTTTGTCCTACAGCGCCCTTTTGCTGATATTAATAAAAACAGCTAATAAAGTTAATAACTTTTGTACCTTGTTAGAAAGCTTATAAAACTACTTTCTTTGCCATTTTACTAATCTGAACTCCAAATGTTATACAGCTTTTTCTAGTACTTTACGGCGAAGTTCGGGAAAAATACAAAAATTAAAAATTATTGTTACTATAAAATTCTTTTATTTCTGAGATTGTGTCAGTTTTGGGCAAGCTTTTTTTTAATGTTCACTTTTTTTTTCAGCTTTCAGCAAAGTATCAATTTAATGATTAGAGTGGAGTAGTTTATTCATAATTAATGATTTTTGGCAGCAAGTCAGAAAAAATCTAAAAAATCGTAGAACCGTCACAACTCGGTAACCATCCAGTTTTGACGCCTAGTTTACGGGACTTAAATTGTGGCTTATGACCTCTAGTATAACTCTTTCAAAGAATAGGTCGAACGAATACCTATTCATATCGCATATTAGGTATACGTCAGTAGTGCTACGTCAGTAACCGAAGCGGTTAACGTCGAGTGTTTCGCTGTCACTCTAGATAACATATGAAAGTAAATTCCTTTCGCATGGTTTACGATTTCTCTAATTTCCGTTCTTCGAATAACTTTTATTGCCCTATATATAAACAGATTTTGGTATTGACACATAAACAGTTTTATTTATAGAGTCATATATTATTCCGCCATTTTTCACATGTGAGAGCTAATAGATCGTGCACATGTGCACATGTGAGACCAATATCTTTTTGTGCAATATTGGAAGTTGTTTTACAGTGATTCGTGAAATGATTAACGGTTAGTAATTTTTTATTACTTTGTTTAATCCTACGATTAAATTAAGCCATGTTAATGAGACGACGACGTTTGCCCCTTCAAAAAATTGTGAGTGGGGTAATTGTAGCTCCTATGGTTTTATTTAAGTTTTAACATTTTATATGTGACTAATTGAGAACTGACACCATTGTGATAGTGCCTGATAATATGAGTTTCTAATCGTATTATATCGTTATCCAAAGTAATCGAACCACATGCCCCATTACTAATGTAAATGTTAAAATATGTTAAATTATTGAGAGTATTTTAACTAAATTTAAAGCAAATTGAACTCTGTTACAGCATTGAAGTACAAAATTAGTAACATTAAGTTAGACTTGACGTTTATTGTTAGTTTGAGAATTATAGATATAACAACAAAGGTGATACGGATGGTTAGTTTAGCTAAATTTACCCCAGATCGGGGGCAAATGTGACTATTGGCGGCTTTAAGTGGAATATCTTCAATTGGAAAATAATTTATAGACTTTCTATAAATCGGAACTCGTCTATATTATCATTAATAAATGTGTTATATAAAGAATTTGCTAAATTGTATTAATAGTGTAAAAATATTCAAGTAACTAGTTTGACATAAATTTTTAGTAGCTACAATATGACATAATGACCTAAACCATTTTTTTATAATTAAATATTTACCTCGTGTTCCTCATTTCCGTCACCCAATCCGTCACGCAAAAACGTGAAGAAAACTATAATATGCCTAAAAACTGCTGTTTGTTATTATTTTATTCTGTCGGAACATACTTATATTAGTGGATTGATTATCGCAAACTGAGCTGATTGTATAATCAAAGTACCGTGGACGTTTTTTTCTGTTATTTTACACAACTGGTTAGTTTTTCTTTTAGCCATTTATATCTGTACAATGATTTTGTATGTTGATAATTTCCATGTACGTCATATTAAAACAGAAATTCATAATTTATTGTGCTATTTTTTTTAGCTCTCACATGTGAAAAATGGCGGAATAATATATGACTCTATAAATAAAACTGTTTATGTGTCAATACCAAAATCTAACATGCTACCAAAATCTAAACATTCCTAACATGCTCTTTCCATTTCATATTTTCATCTAACTCTAGTTACACCCTTAGAATGCAGAATACGCTAATGTGCGTATTAACTAGGTCATCTGCTTATTCCTGGTATGATCCGATATGTGAGGAATTTCACCTAAACTAAAGGAATATATGCACTTTACCTACACCATCCTTTTATGATCAGATGGTACATTGTGAATTGTGGAAAGGAAAACAGTGAACGAAACCCGTATGTCCCGTTTACAACTCAAATTATTACCGTATACTTAATTTTTATAGTCAGAAGATTACTTTTTTTTTTGTCGATGTGAAATCCATTTACGGACCGTACCGCGCGCTGGCTGGGCGCGCGGCGTGTGTGGGACTCACCGGCGCGGAATAACGCCGATCCTACCCACTAAAACCCACCGGTACCCTCCTACGCCCATGTGAGAGCGTTTCAGGATCGGCGCACCTCTGTGTGCGCCACTTCACTGGAACGTCCCCGGGCCAGTCAGAAGATTGCCTAGTAAATCTGCAGTTAATTTCCACTTTAAGGGAGTCATTCAAAATATCGGTATATTTCCTTTTTTATCTACAGTCTAACTGATTCGCACACATTAGCGGTTAGTTATATATTAAATATAGTCGCTGTATTGCTATTTAGATTTTCAAATCCTCAAGAGAGCGGGATCGTATTGGCAATTGGAATAATGTAAACCTCTCTCTTTAAAATTAATAAATTCTACTAAGATAATAAAACACTTTTAATGAATCACACGTAACTTTAATGTCAGCAGTAAAATTAACGATGATATTGACTTGATTTGCGTTGAGTACTAGCTTAAACTGCTGTATCGACACTTACTCATGCGTGCTTTCTTGACATTTCAATCTCAACGTAGGTTACCAAAATAAGCCAAAATCATAGTTTTTTGAACAATAATCAATTGGTTCAACAATAATAACACTTTTTATAACTTTTCAATATAAATGATACTGGGATTACCTAGGTACAAATTTTTACTGCGTTATTTGTAGTAATTAAAAATTATCGTATCAAAATCGTAAGTCCTTCCCCGGGACTCAAACTACATCTTTACTAAATTTCATCTAAAACAGCTCAGCGGTTTAAGTGTGAAGAGGACAGACATGCAGAAATACAGACAAACACACTTCCGCATTTATAATATTAGCGTGGATAAAGAAGATAAACAATTTAATTTGATTGAATTTCAGGAACATACCAAGGACAATGGATGCGAGGGCTGCGGCACGGGTACGGTGTCCGTACGTCAGCGCCGTTCGGCCTCGCGTCGCACTATCGCGGAGGAGCGCGGGGGCATCGCGGATCACAGGTACAATTTTGATCTACTTTATACGCAAGTCGTTTAAGTTAGTACTAGCGTCCACATCCCCACGTCACGACGTCGTCAACGTGGAACGGTGCGGTAACGTTGCACGGTGCGTTGACATAACGTGCAAATCTAGTCGTAAATTTGCACACGTTTACAATGTCGTTTATGGCAACGCACGGTGCTGCGCTATCACACCGTTTCTCGTTGACGACGACGTCGTGACCTGGCAAGGTGCACAAGCACTTAGAGTTGAGCAAAGCTAACGTACGTATTAAAACAAAACATGCGATATGAAATTGGTTTCGTTGAAATCGCTCCAAATGTAGTGTTGGGAAAAGTTGCGGTATTATCACCAATCACTTTCAAAACTTTCAAAGCTTCTACGAGATGACTGTCGGTTTTCCAGTCCTATTTCTATTCATCTTATGATATACAAAATATTGTTTGTTTAACTAATTGACTCGCTAAAGTCTGCAAATATTTTAACTTTTTGGAATGTTTATGTGTGGGCTTCTCCCCAGAACACCCATTGTGTTATTTTCTAAAAACCAAATAGTCTGGGCAACGTCTAGGTCATAGTATGGGATCCCAAGTGGGGATTTAGGGTTTACTCGAGCGTAACAGAATAACGTAAAGGGGCGTGCAACCTTACACCTCGTGAAGTCCTGATACAGGAACAAACACCTAGGACAGCAAAAAATTACACAAACGGCCGTCGGCTTTCGACTTTTGGTCGCATGCAAATTGTTAGTCTTTTGAATAGGAATATGGATATAGCCCAAGAGCTACTGAACCCTCCGAGTAACAGTCTGTCTGTAAGGCTAAAAATTCTTATGGTGATGAGTCATAGCATGCTAAGTACGGTAAGTATCGTCTGGCACTCCTCAACCCTGCACGTCATCAAGCCGTATATTTTGAAAGTGTCAAAAAAATATTTAAAAAAAACTTGTTGCTGTAAGCTTGAAATTTTTATACAATGTAGTTTATTCATTTTTAAGTTTAAAAAAAATACCAGACTTTTACGATGAGCACAAGTACCTGCCAGACGAACCGGAAGGTGTGTAATATATACATAAAAATAAACTTTATTCTGTAAAGTTGAAATTTATATATGTGTTTGTTTAAGCGATTTTAAGTAAGTAGGTAGAATGCCAGGCGCTTTTGGCTAGCACAAGTCCTTGCCAGGCCAGGAGAAAGATGCTGCGGCAGTGCGAGTAAGAGTCGTAGTATGAAAACTTAAATAACTTAAAACTGCTCATAATTTGAAATTAATTACCGTTAATTAATATATATTTAGTAGTGTGCATGTTTCTGTGAAGTCACCGATTTGAAAAAAATGCAACTCGATACTTAGATGAAAATAAAGAATAATATGTAAGTTCATAAAAATATACCCGCCAATGATGCTGGTACATTGGATGAAGTCGATGTTTTGTTCTGGCAATATTTTTTCATTACAGCAAGAAAGTTTAGGTAACACTTCACATGATAACCTGTATTATCATGAACTTCCTCTGGCAAAGAAATGTCATTAAATTTTAAATTATGTTGTCTTCTAATTTTTAATATTGATTTGCTTTTGTCTAAAGTACTTGTTGTAAATTTTACAGTTTTGTCATCAATATCTTGTTTGCAAATCACACAAACAACGTTAACAGATTCCATTTTACTCAGTATTTACTTAAATATGAATAATCGTTGGCACGACTGACGTACACAAGAATAACTGCACAATTAATATTAATATTTAATTGAAATTTTAATCATTACAATACTTTACAATATAAAACAGTGAAATTCTGCGTAATGGTAGCCATACACACTACGAGAAATCGTTACGATTAGACTGTACCGTCCGAACGGTACCGATAAATCGTAGCGTGTATGTTATAAAACTGCACAGTTTCCTATACGTACGCCACGTACGATAAACTGTTCCGTTCGAACTGTACAGCCTGATCGTAACGATTTCTCGTAGTGTGTATGGCTACCATAAGATTTTACATAGATAAATAGTTGTTACCTCCGACGGTTTTTTTTTCAGGTATAGGACCTATTTTCCAGTAAGATAAACTGTCTCAATCGCACTACCGAGTTCACGTTGAGCTGCTTACTCACACTTCCATAGCATCTTTCCCCTCACGAGGCAAATACTTATGCTAGCCAGAACCGCCTATCATTCCACCTACTTACTTTAAATCGCAAATAAAATTATAATAAAACTTTACCTAGTTAAACTAAATGCAAATAATATGACACTACAGACAGACCGACTAAGTTTTTTATACTTTCCAACAATATGGGTATCAAATGAAAGGACTTTCCAATAATATGAGGTTTTTGAAGTTCACGATTATATCCAGCGATAACTAAAAAGTAAAAAATAAATTAAAAGTAAAAAACTTTTTAAAAAACACACTTTTATTTAAATGTGCTAGAAAGAATAAACTGCTGAGAATGAGTCAAGTGACGCTCAAGAACACATTAAAGGTAATACACATTTCATAAAAATATATGAAAATCTATATAATTGAGCGCAAGGTCAGCGATGTAATGTTTTTCTTAATGTATTAAAACTTTGTTTCTTTTCAGATGATGAAATCAGGAACTAAGAATCCTATTATGATGATGAAGAAAGTGATGATGATGAAGATTTATTAATTAATTTAAAGATTTATAATAATAAAAAATATTTTACCCATAACTTTTATTTTCACATCATTTAATTTGCATGAATAATATACCGTAAGTTTTCATACTACGACTCTTACTCGCACTGCCGCAGCATCTTTCTCCTCGCCTGGCAAGGACTTGTGCTAGCCAGAACCGCCTGGCATTCTACCTACTTACTTTAAATCATTTAATAAACACATATATAAATTTCAACTTTACAGAATAAAACACACATATACAGAATCTGGCATTTTTTTTTAAACTTAGAAATGAATAAACTACATTGTATAATTCAAGCTTACAGCAACAAGTTTTTTTTAATATTTTTTTGACACTCAAAAATATAGGGCTTGATGACGTGCAGGGCTGAGGAGTGCCAGACGATGCTTACCGTACTAAGCATGTTATGGCTCATCACCATAAGAATTTCTAGCCTTACAGACAGACCGTTACTCGGAGGGTTCAGTAGCTCTCCTACTAATAGTATGGAAACTTCATTTATATACTCAAATCCAACCCACTGGGATTAACTGGTAGTACAGTCAATCTGTCGAAAAAAAATCGTTTCAGTGAAAAAAAAACCTAAAGGGTAAGTCTCCATAGGACCGAAAAAATTACCGTTAGCAGCACTGTGTTGTATACGTAGCGCTGTATTGCACTGTAACTTGAAAACTGTAAGTAATTTAAAAAAAAATGTTTATACAAAAGTTGTTGGTAATTATGTACGGAACAACTTTTTAAAGTATTTAAAGTTTTCCATTAAAATGATATTTTCAGGGTGAAAAAACACTTTTTTTGAGACTTTAGCGCCACCTACAATGCGCATTTTTTGTTGGACGAGATTGCAAAAATGACATAAATTGTAGTACTCAACGCCCTCTACAAAAAGTTTCTAAAATGCACACAAAACAAGAAAAATGCGTTTCAAAAAACGCCTACGAGTTGAACATGCCCATCACCAAGGTGGCTTACTGACGTCATTTGGCAACAGAAAAAACAAGATTTACCCTTTAGGTTTTTTTTCACCACTCAACCTACAGATTGACTGTACTATGGTGAAAAAGAATAAATACACACCACACTAGCACTATGCGTCTTCACGTATCTTTAACGACTACGAAACTAGTACGAAAAGCATAGCAAAGCATTTTGGAAATGCATACGTATGTAGTGTATAGGAACAACTTGTGTGTAAACAAATAAGACTAAAAGTGTTATGTTTACCGGCTTCCTTATTTCCACAGGCTTCGCTCGCGGACGCGGCGGGGACTCCGGACCCCTCAGAGAGGCGCGCCACTCGCATGGACGACGCTCGCGGCGGCTTCGTGCTTAAGGCCAGCTCCGACGAGCCCGGCCGCCGCGGCTCACTCGTCGAAAAAACAAAGAAAGGACTTCTATCGGTAAGGCCACTTTATATGTCACTTTATATATATTTTCTCTTCTAACTTTCTATCAGCTTGAGCTCTTGGGCTTATAATACGCTGCTGTAATTTATCTATGCAATATTGTGATCAGACTGTACCTTTGTGTTCATTGTGTGATGGGATTATGTTTTTACCGATGGGTCCGTAAAATCCATCGGTTAATTAATCCTTTGAAAAATCACTGTTTATGCCATTTGTGTCACGAACATTTGCACTGTGTTTTGTCACCTACTTTTGAGAATATATTCTGTGTAACTGGGTGGATGGTATAATTATTTTAACGCAAGATTCAGGTCTCAATTGCGACAGTGTCGTGGTGTTTAGCGTGCGTAATAGTTGCTAAGCAGGCGTCGACTGTGATTGCAGAAGTTGCGGAAGCAGCGCAGCGCCGGGGATCTGGACAAGCGGGGCACGGGCTCGGTACGCTCGGGGGGCTCCGGCGGCTCCGGTTCTTCCTGGGTCTCCTCCGTGGAGAGCACTCACTCGGCCATGACGCACGTCTCCCTACAAACCAACTCTAATGCCAGCTTTGTGGTTGAGGTTAGATGAAATAAAGACTCGCTTTCCCCGTTTTTGTCAAAACTTGTGGTGCGGCTTATTAACCTGAAGGTCTTTTAAATAAACAATTCTTTTTCGATACGGTTATCACCAGTAGCGCAAAGTTGGAAATCATGGAAAGATTGACTTAGTATTATAATTTTGGCACTAGTAGGTAAATGATGCATCAGTAATTAAAGATCTTGTCATAAATAAAGAGTGAAAACCTGTGGTGAAAACGATAAATACATTCTAAATGTACATAGCATGGCACGCTTCTGTTCCGCTGCATATTTGCTAATCTATAATATTTACATGATACATTGTAACATGCGCACTTTATTTCTTTTAACCTATTTCGAATACTGTAAACTTCATGCGAAATAAATAATACTATTAATTACATCTGCATATCGGATATGTAGCTACATGTAACATAGCAATCGTTTCGATAAATGAATCAATTTGTTTTCAGGATGAACATCTGGATGCGAGCGTGACGGAGACCTACATGGGCGAATGGAAAAACGACAAACGTACGGGCTTCGGCGTGAGTGAGAGAAGTGATGGACTGCGATATGAGGGAGAGTGGTTCGCGAACAGAAAGTACGGCTATGGTGTAACCACCTTCCGTGACGGGACGCGGGAAGAGGGCAAATACAAGAACAACGTGCTCATCACAAGCCAAAAGCGGAAACACATGTTTCTTATGCGTTCGGCCAAATTCCGGGAGCGTGTTGACTCAGCCGTCAATGCGGCGCAGCGCGCGTCCAAGATCGCGTTACAGAAAGCCGATATAGCTATATCAAGGTTCGTGTTATCCTAACGTGTTTCGTTTCAGTATCAATATCATTTATTGAAGTTTGCGTTTTATAGTGCCTTTGCTTACATAAAGACATAATTATATTTGATGTAATACTTAGCCCTTATATATTATGCATTTACGTATAGGTCAGTCAACCAAATATCTTATGGGAAAAGTCGCAATGAATGTTGAAACCTTTAGTATAGTTAACAATTGTCAAAAATTCAAATGAATGGATAGTGAGATTGCGCGTAATATAGTATCGACGTTCAGATAAATAAGAAGTTCACTCACTTTCGGTTAATTGCGATCCTACTGAAACTGATCGTCAAAGCTATTTTCAAACGATGACTCGAAGAAGATATTTCTTCTGCTCAGATTACAATCACTTGGGGCCATGCCATGATCACTTAACACGATCGAAGCGCAGAAATCTAAGCAGGATGCCGGTTTACATTGAACCTACATAATTATCATGGCCTAAAATACTGTTACAACCATGTTAGCACTTTTTTTTTGTCTAAAGCTCGTTGAGAACCATGTAAATATATTTTTTTATTGATGTGTTACATCTTTCCTCTCGCTTTCCTGCAATTAGTGAGAGTGATTTCGTGAATTCGGACAAAAGTGTGTAACAGGAAGTCGCGAAAGCGTGCGCTATTCGATTTGATTTCAGAACATAATGTTCAAATGGTTTATTCCTTTTGTAGTACCTTTTTTTTACCAATATAAGGTGAGGTTTCAAATGTTACACATCATACGCGACTACTGTAAGGCTCGCTCGTATTTTTTTATTAATAAAGAAATGGGTGGCAATTGTAATTGTAATATTAGACCATTTGTGTTACGGGATCTATCTCAAAATCGAAACTAGCTAAGAATGTGAAATTTTGTTATATGATATCCCATAATATGCTGTACAGCAAATACTGAAAACGAAAGATGCCTAGCTCTGAAACGAACTATTTCATAAATCAGTGATACAAGGTAGCTTCAATAACATCAAAATAACCAACTTTTTTATTTTTATTATTAACTCTCACATTAAACTTTTTATTTTTCACGGTAAAAACTTGCCTTCTTGTGTCTTTAACACGCTTTAAATTTATTATAGTTCCACCGTTCGTTTGCAGTGCAAGCCGTACATCTATGGAATTCTCTTCCGGTTTCGATAAGACGTGCGGAAACTATTAATGCGTTTAAAAACCTTGTGAAGTCCCACTATCTGACGTTGTAATACTTTTATTTTTAATATCTCATGTTCTAAAAACTGGACTGGATCAATGTATGTATTTATACTTATTGTATCTATGTATGTATTTATGTATGTTTATATATCTTATATATGTATATGTGTATGATATGTATTTACTAATAGACTATATTATACTAGCGATTTACACCGCCGTCTCTCCCACTTCCTTCTAATCCTCTCCATCCAAAGGTTGCCTGGAAGAGATCGCTTTAAGCGATAAGGCCGCCTATTGCATCACCTGTACTAAATGTTTTTGTGCAGAATGTTCAATGTTTTTCGTGGTGTTTAATAAAGAGTTTTTGTATTTGTATTTGTATTTGTATAGTTATTAACGGGATTGCTACCATGTACCTTGTATTTATTTAATCTGATATTTCGGCATGTTGCGTAAATTTTCATGGACACTAAAATTATAGTTCTCTTATTAACGGCACGTTGCGAGCGCCATGATCACGTAGTAACTGACGCGTATGCCGTTCTACGAAATTTAGTTAATATACTTAAAATTTGAAAGATGTATTCTACAATATCCTCACTATCCCGTTTTAGTTATGTTTTGGTGTTACTTAGAAGAAGCGACTGGAACCATGTTTCTTTGGTAAACAAAGATACCGAAACCATCGGTTCAGATGAGATATAGTTTGTATCTTTCAGCAAAATTTAGCAACGGGTCAGAAAGGTCGATTTAAAAAAAACGTAACTGGAAAAGATCGGTTCCGATTTCATCAAAGCTGCAGTTGAAAAATGTTCTATGGAAAAAGTGTAATTTTCCATCAATCGAATTGACGACAATCACAGTGTTTAAAGGATTCTATTATGGCCCATGGAGATCAATTTCAATAAGTTTCGTGGTTTAATTATGGTATTATTTTAATCGTCAATATTATTCTGTTTTTGGAAACCAATAAAGGACGCCTATATGCAGCAGTGGACATCCATCGGCTTGTTATGATGATGATTGTATACTAATATTATGAATAAAGTTTTAAACTTTCATGGTCACTAACAACAACAAAACCATGTAACAGGGTACATGGTTGCAATCCCGTAAATAACTTATCTTCTAATATATAAAATTCTCGTGTCACGGCGTGCGTAATTGAACTACTCCGAAACTGCTCGACCGATTTTTGTGAAATTGTATGTGCATATTCAGTAGGTCTGAGAATCGGATAACATCTATTTTTCATTCCCCTAAGTGTAATGGGTGGTCCACCATTATTTTATTTTTTTCGACTAAGTTTTTGTTTTTATTTTTATATGATACATCATACAAAAATACATACAACCTTAAATTTTCACCCTAAGAACGACGCGGCGACGTACGAAGTTTGCTAGGACAGCTAGTATTACTATAATAATGAGGCTGAAGAGTTTGTTTGATTGTTTGGTTGGGACGCGCTAATCTCAGGAACTGTTATTCAAATTGAAAAATTATGGTGTCGGTCACTAGTGGTCGGTCATTGGATGGGTGACCAAAAATCTTCTATCTCGAGTTCCTTCGTGCTTCGGAATGCACGTTAAGCCGTTGGTCCCGGCTGCATCTGCAGTCGTTGGCACCCCCTAATCCGCACTGGGCCCGCGTGGTAGGTTATGGCCCAATCTCCCGAATTCATCCATAGGAAAGGTCTGTGCCCCAGCAGTGGGGACACTAATAGGCTAATGATGATGATAAAGTATTTTCTAAACTGCTTCTTTAAGTTGTATTTCTTATAAAACGCAATAATTAGGGAAAGAATAAAGCTTGATCGCCCAAAGAAGATACACCACTTTATAGTGCATATTTTAGTTACAGCTGCTTTCTTTATAAGTGCAAGGAATTCAAACGCCTACATAACGTTACGTTTATAAATTTCTTGAATGTAGGTAAGTGTAGGTACATTAATAAAAACTGACCAAGCGCGAGTCTGGCCTCGCTCTATTAGGACTCCGTAAAATCATTTGTTTATTTTCGACACATTTACAAAGTAGATACATTGTAAATCGGCGTTTTCAGTATTTGTTGTTTAAATACAACTTAGGGAACATCATATACCAAAATTTCACACACTCTTGTTAAGTTTCGATTTTAAAATAGACCCCATAACAAAAATTGTTTAAAAATAACAACTTTGACGAGCCTCCATTTCTTTGAATTGAAAATAAATAATAATAATTATATTTATATCCCTACTCAACGAGCTCTAGACAACGATGTGTCACATGCTGGAGCAACAAAGAGAAAAACTCGTCTCCTTGTCATTTCGTTTTTCAATTTCTAACCAATAATTCGCATTTGGGCAAGCATTCCACATGAAATACTAAAAATTACAGTATTGTAACTCATTCCGTGTACGATCTGGAGAGCCATGACATACGTACAGACAAACAGAAAAACTACAGAGTGGCAGCAATAGGGTTCCGATTTGCCCTTTCGGTACGGAACCCAAAAATATAAGCAGTGACAGCACTTTAAAAGAGCACACACTGAAAACTTCACATTTTTTTATGAAACTGGTAGTGTTCCCTAACTGAAAAGATATTAAATAAAAATTTAAACATACATAAACTTACGATAGGATTTGGCTCACGAGAAGCCAACATAGACTGACATATACGAATGTTATGCAATTTTAATAAGATTAGAAACATGCGTTTCGAATTTATAGCTTCCTTTTATTAAAGTGGTTATATAAGCAATGAGATTATTAAGTACTATTTTCTATTTTAGTCATAAGAGTAACTTTAAATTATTGTATCGGATAGAAATCATTCTACTGGTAAATATTTGTTCCCAGAACTGCTACAGCACGAGGCAAAGCCGAACAAGCCGACGAGGCGGCAGACCAAGCAAAAGAAGACTGTGATATTGCGCAAGCAACTGCAAAACAGTTTGCTCCAGATTTCAAACATCCTGGTTTTGATCGAATAGGTTTAAGAGACAGATACAGACAAAAGAATTATGACACACAGGTTACGACACCCGTATCACAAGAATCTGAAAAGATCTTGGATGGAAAGAGCATTCCAAATCATATCCCTCCGATGCACTCACAACTTCCTAATGCCAATAAAATACCTAACGCCATGTCTTCTAGACGACCTTCCGCACAGTATCCTAACACACAATATCCTAAGCCTGCAACGACAGTAGATCCAAGACTTACAAATAATTCAAATTACAATACAGACAACAGGGTATTAGGGCCTCCCTACGATCCTTATAACTCACCCAACCAAGATTCTTGGTCATCCCCAAATACACAGTTTCAAGATAACCCAAAGCCATATTTACCTAACGAACAAACCAATGCCTACAGCTCTATCCCATCGAATGCACCGCAGTCTTCAGCTTATAGACTAAACAGGCAAGATGCTATACAAAATCCACAAGGCATGGACCAAAGTAGTCAACAGCATATAAACCAAGGACGTAAATTGTCCACTGTAAGGCAAACACCGAATCAAAGGCCACAACCACAAGAATGGAACACTACACAAAATATAACTCGACGACAAAGCGTACTCGCTCAACCGTCAAACGATCCTCAAGAACCTGTTTATAATATGGATACTGGAACATCCGCTTACGGCAGAAACGAGTTCCGAAGCGGAACCGTATATTCCGAGGGACCATTGGACCGAACACAAATGTCGGCAGATCAAGCTTATCGCCAACCTCCTATGGATCAAGGATATCGACAGCAATTCGAACAACCTGGTTACGGAAGACTAACGCAGGATCAGCAGAACTACGGCAGACAAGCGCCCGATCAGCAAACGTATCGACAGGCTCAAATAGATCAGCAGGCATACCGACAAACCGCCGCCGGCGTGGAGCAGGATGCCGTAAACGGTGCTAGAGCACCAGGGCAAAGGCCGTCTATAGATTACTTCGATCATTATAAAAGACCCCCGAGTAGAGACGGTAGCGTAGACCGCTACGGTAGACGGTCACGACAACCGTCTGTGGAAGCTACGGCGCCCAGCGGTGGGTCGCGCGCGGGGTCAGTAGCCCCACAGCCCGCCCCGGGATCGCGGCCCCCGTCCCGCGCGGCCACGCCTGCGGCGGGGAATGGCCACCTCACCTCCGGACGCGGCTCAATATCACGAGCGAGCTCACGAGAACATCAACCTTTCGAAGATTCTCTTTTGCGAAAGCGTACTCTAGGACAGGAAATAGTACCGTCTCCTTATCAACCGAAGAGGACCGAAAGCTTGTTCGTGGCGCAAAACCCGACCCCACCGCCAGCACCTGTGACCGGTGGAGGGGGAGGTGGACGAAAGGTAAGTTCTAAGTCCAATCCACAGTTTTCCGAAGCACGGTTCTTCAAATACAAAATATTCTTAATTTTATGATACCTAGAAGCCAGTTAGGGTGCTTCTACACGGTGCAAATAGCTGGAGCAAGTAAAGATACGGATTATTCGCGTGACTAGTGTGCACCAGCTACTTGTACTATTTGCTCGCTTGTTCTTGTACATGGTGCAAATGACTGGAGCAAGTAAAGACAAGGGCTACTTGCGCAAGCAGTACGCACAAGTTATTTGCTCGTAGTCGAAAGCTACATGTACATGCTATTCGCGCGGGCTTTATGAGTTAAATGAATCGCATTAATGTATCGACGAACGAAAGTTCTTGTCAAATCATTTATTCCAAATGTTATATTTCCAGAACTATTAAATTTACTGGAAGATGAATTAATAAAATTTCCAAGCAAGAAGTTATGGATGCGTAATTAGCGCTTGCGCACATCTAAACCTGCTCAAGTAACATGCTCGAGTGACCTGCACGCGCCGCAGAGCGCGCAGATTAGTTGCGCGGGTGGCTCGCTCTGATAAATGCTCTAGTCGCTCGACCCGCACATGTCTTTGCACGGGATTTTTACGATGCATATAACCTTCGCAAGTGCCTTAATATGCACAAGTTATTTGCACCGTGTAGAAGCACCCTTAGGTTTTGTTTGAAACGAGTGGGATTTTCTATAGTAGGTATAAATTCTCTTTTACATAATTTATGATAAATTTTATTTTAAAACATTACAGACCTTGAGTTATAAGAATAAAATAACGAATGTATTGGCAATTCAGAAGAACGGTGCTTCGTTTACATAATTTACATACCTACTAAATACAATTTGGTTTATAAAATGAAGTCCTAATTATTGAACTTAGCCCATTTCATAATTTTCCAAATAAAGAAAAGTATCTAAAGAAAATATAACTAGAAAAAATTCCACGAAAAAAGAAAAAAATATAACTATAATTGCTATTTCTTCTTTCAAATGTTTAATACTTGTAAAAGTATTCATTTGACATTGTGGGTTTACCTATAATGCGAAGAGATGGCGCTGCCTTGCAGCTTAGGAATAGCTAGAAGGAATTTCGACGCGGTCCGTGAGGGCCGCGGTAGCATAATTGGTCAGTGCATTCGCCCGGATTGCGAAGGGTGCGGGTTCGAGTCCCGTCTGCTGCCTGGTCCGCGTGGAATTTTTTCTAGTTATATTTTCTTTAGATTTAAACATCAAGCAGTTACATGCTTTAAAAATAATAAAAATTATAAAGAAAAGTATATCAAAATTTTTTTGGTAGAAAAGAAAATAACTCGGCCGGGGTAAATTAGACCTAAGATTAGTTACTAACGTCGTTACTAGATTAAAGCATGAAGTTTTTTAAAATCAATATATATTTTTTTGCTTCCTTTGATAATCCATTCTTTATTAGCTACTATTTTGAAGACGAATTATTTGGCCGTTAAGCTGGTGTGACGACACGAGTTACAGCAGACTCCGTTTGGACCCTCCGAGTACAGAACCCTAAAAACCTGGCCAGTTTTTCCCTACCCCCGCAACATCGGCTAACCAGTGCCTCGACTCGAGTCTCAGCGACGCCCCCTAGTTGTGCCGACCCCCTCAGGCTTGAATGGTCTAGTGGCCCCACACGGAGAGGAGACTGCCCCGAAACGAGATGTCATCCCATGGAATACCATTAGAGGCAGTCGCCTATTCCCGGATTGAGGATCTCGCTGTGTCCAAACCCAATGACGCTGTAAAGGTCTGCAACCAACAGTATACGCACTCAAAGATACAAAAAACTTTATATATATAATTCTTCTGTGAGTGTGTATGTCACTGAACTTCTCTTAAACGACTGGACCGATTTTGATGAATTTTTTTGTGTGTGTTCAAGGGGATCTGAGAATGGTTTAGATTCACAATTTTGTCCGCTGGACAACCCCTATTTTTTTAGGGCGGTACGAAGTTCGCTGGGTCAGCTAGTTATATATAATATTCTGTACCAACCTTTTCTACATACACTCGAGAACAATGAATCCGGGTCATTTAAAGAATCCTAAAAATCTCGGTAGCTAAGAATGCTAGCTTAATGAAGAAAAAAATTAATAATTTATTAATAATTAACTGATTATGATCAATTAAATACTCCTCAAATGAAAAAATTAAAACTTCTTAGTTATTGTAAAGTTATATCATAAAAAAATATAATTTGAAAAAGGGATACTTTCGAAGATGGAACTACGAAATTACTAATCATGTGGCTACACCTGAAGAATGCACCAGAATTCTTACAATACTGGAAACCGGCCGGAGGCAGCGCGATACAGCCAGAACTATCGGTGTGTCTCTGTCAACAGTACAAAGAGTTCTCCGACGTTACGAGGAAACTGGCTCTAACCTACACAGACCAAGAACAGACAGAACCAGGTGTACCACAGCACGAGGAGATCGATACTTGGTGAACACCATGCTTCGAAATCGCTTTCTCACAGGAACGGAAATTACAAATCAGTTTCGACGCCTCGGAGGAAGTAACCCAAACGCATGGACAGTAAGACGATGACTTGCTGAAGCTAGCTTGAAACGGCTAAAATCGTATTTTTAGACTAAGATATGCCCAGAACCACTTAAATTGGACTATTGATGACTGGTCAAAAGTTATGTTCTCCGACGAATCAAAATTTATGCTCTACAAGTACGATGGAAAACACAGAGTATATAGAAGACCTATGGAAAGATTCAAGCAAGCATGCATCGAAGAAAAAGTACCCTACGGTGGTGGTTCTGTACTTGTGTGGGCCGGAGTATCTTCTGAGAGTCGCACAGAATTGGTGTTCATAGAAAAAGGCTATTTAACTAGAGAAAGATATTTTAAAGAAATCTTCAATAAACATGTTGGTCCATTTATGGTCAATTTGGGTAAGGATGTAAGGAAGGACAATGCAGGACCTCATTGAGGTTGGATTGTGAATGACTACCTTCAACAGATGAACATTACTCGTATGGAGTGACCAACACGCAGCCCGGATATCAACCCGATCGTGCATGCTTGGAATTACGCTTCGTGAGCTCAAAATTGCTCTCACAGAGGTATGGGAGAATATTCCCCAAAATCGTATAAGAAACTTGGTGTACAGCATGCTAAACCGGATGAACGAAAAATTAAAATTCAAGAAAATTGAAATGTTGTTCAAAAATGTCATGTCCTATTTTTGTTTTATGTAAATCAGCTAGTTTTTTCTTTCTGTATTTTTTGTAAATAAAATGTGGTGACTTATAAATTTTATAACTGTCATTTAAGGAGTATTTGTCTATTAAACACAATTTATTTCATTAAGCTAGCATTCTTAATTTGCAAGATTTTTAAGATTATTTATGTAACCTCGATTCATTGTTTTTGAGTGTACTAGAAATAAAGTTAAATAGTAATAGTTACAAGTAACCGAAATTTAATTTATTAAGAAATAGTAAATCATAACATATTTAAGTAGGTACTTTTTTTAGATACTTTTGTAGATACTTTCCTTTAAAACCAAAGTAAACGTAAAAACAATACCATTGTTTGCATGTTTCGTAATTTATGCAAATAATTTAAATGGACTGCTTTACATTGCGTAAGTAGTTGTTAAACATGAAATGTAACACGCCACAACCCATAACCCTTGAAGAAAATTGTTAAAGACTAGCGACTCCACCCACCGGCGTTAATTTTCAATTCGGTGCATTTTCTTAATATCGTTAAAAAAATGGTTGCCTGTAAAGTCGGTTTTACGGGCGAAGATTTTACGTGACAACGTCTTTTTCTCGGTAGAATATTTATTGATATGAATATAATTAAATTGCACAATAGGAACAAGGAATTGAATGAAAATAAGAATTGCACAAATTTTAACTATAGAAATATATTTTGTTTACTAAAACATTGTACATGTAAACTTAAACTTAACACGAGAGACTCATCGTAACGTTACCGAGCGTTACACTTTTTCATAAGTGACTCCCAGCCGCAACCTAATTTAAGACGTTGTCACGTCAAAATCATTTTAATACTTACTTCCAAAGATTAAACAAAGTTGTTCCCTTATATAATTGTCAGTTTTACTTGTATTAATTCAGTAAAAAATGTAAACAGCATGTTAAAACACTATAAGCACTATGCAGGCACTAAACTTAAATGTGCTTGTAAGGCACTTTAATAATTGTTGAAATAAATTGTGATTTTGTGCATAGCATAGGCGTGTAGTTCAGCAGAAAATCTAAAAGGCTAGAAATGCAAAAGGAATTCGATTAGAAACTACTAATTCGTGTTCTTGGTCGAAAAATAATAATTCTGAAATTTAATGAATATTCTTAGTACAAAATAAATATTAAATATATTTGTTTCTTAGGTTTTCACGCACATCACTCATTAAATAAAACTAGTTTTTACGGGTTAATGCACGAAACTTTATTTATTTATTGACGTTTCGTAGCCTTTACAGGCTTCGTCGTCAGAATAAAACTTTTATTTAATTTGCCGAGCTACCTTCGTTTTCGAAGGTAGCTCGACAAATTAAATATAATAATATATTTGTTTCTTAGGTTTTCACGCACATCACTCATTAAATAAAACTTTTATTAATTCAGTAAAAAGTATAAACAGCATGTTAAAACACTATAAGTCTTCTACTTTCTACCTTCGAAAACGAAGGTAGCTCGACAAATTAAATAAAAGTTTTATTCTGACGACGAAGCCTGTAAAGGCTACGAAACGTCAATAAATAAATAAAGTTTCGTGCATTAACCCGTAAAAACTAGTTTTATTAAATATTAAATATCCCGGAAAACTTATACCCCCCTAAAATAAATCCTGATAAAACGTATTAATTTCTTCTACTTATTTACTAATGCACGCTGGACGAACTCAACCGCGTTAATATCAAAATTTTATGTAATTTTTTAATAACATCTTCTAATAAAATTCCTATTTAACTTACAAATATGAGTTACACTTCTTCAGAAAATATTTTTTATTTCTTCTCTACAGTCCAATATGGTATAAAAAACGTATAGGAAGCATAAGCGTTTGGAGACAGATTGTGATTAATTATAAAGTAGTAGAAGTTTCTAAATTAATAGGGCTAGTGTGATAAATAACATTGTGGAGAATGCGTGCGGCCGGCCGCCAGTCTCATTATGTAGGCGGTGCGGTGCGCTGCAAGTGTTGGCGCGGCGCTCGCCGGCTCAGCCCGTTCTATTTCTAATTCGAGACAGTCATTCGTTGCCGCTTTCCGCGTATCACCTCTTCGCTATATTTAACTGAAAATATTTTCTTAAGCTTTGCAAATCTTACGGATCACGAATAGTAAAACCAGACCTCGCAAATTTAAGGTCCTACCTATGTAATGGGTGTTCTACATAAAAGTGCATTTTTCTCTAAAATAAAAGCTGACGTAATCCTATTTAACTATAAACCTTGACTTCGATCGAGAAACATATGTTTGGATTAGAGACATAGTGAACACAAATAAATTTCAAAATGTGGTACCAAGGAGACGAAGACGAAGACGAGGACCTTATGTGTTCGCCGGCTATACTCGCACGACGAGCATCCGAGAGTTGGATTAATGTGCCTCCAGTGGAGGTAACTTTTTTGAACACGATCGGATATATTATCATCATTGAATTATCACAATGAGGTGCGCCTCCTTTAAAATTGTTTTACTTATTTTAACTACACACTAAAGAGTTTAATTGATAAAAAGATATTTTTTCTTTAAAGTATATAATCAAACACGATAAAGGATGTAGGGATACACGAATCGTTAATCACACCATTACTCCGTACACGAGTCGATGCTGAACCAACAAACACACCCCCATCAGATGCTGAGTACGCCGCAGACGCTGCAGCGCAAGAAGTCGCTGCCGGACGTGGCGGGCATGCCGCGCATGCCGGACGGCGGCGGCATGTCGCGCGAGGAGGTGTCCGCGCTCGGCTCCGCGCGCCGCGAGGAGGTGCGTCGTATGCACGAGGAGTCGGAGAAGCTCCGGGCGAACCCTCTGCTATATCTAGTCAGTCCGCAAGTGAAGGTGAGCTATCGTAGCACTGAATGTCGGACACTGCGACAGGCTAATCATGCCATGACTAGTTCTGTGCAAAGATAGACTACGTAAAAAGGTCCGCAGTAAAAGCTGTTTGATCTTTGAATCTCACATATATATCTGTCTATGGGAAACACTAGCTGTGTCTTCCTCTTCTTACCCGGCTCTTGATAAGTATGTACTTGAAAAGCGGTACTGTCTGATACAATCAGAAGACACCTTGCACCTTAGGCCACTTTCAATGCAACTTATCTGTAGTATACATACACCAGTCTAAATAAGTGACACATGAACATTACATGACACACAATTTAATAAAAACAATCGACCTTAGTTTCGTACCGTAACGTTACAATGGCTGCTACGAAAGCTTTATTCGTAGCCTTCTTAGACCTTTACGTAATTTCATGTTGGCGTCTGCATAGTGTTGATAAAATATCTACCTCACTTTATCACAAATTAATCAATGTTTTCTCATAACCACTTACAGATTTACCCGTACAGGTTTTTGTATTAACCACCTGCCTGGACCTTTCTACTATAAACTATTAATGTGACCCAATTCCGTTAAATTTAAAGTACCTCGTTTCGTTCGATCCTCTTATATTGCGTCAAGAGTTTAAGTGATCCATATAGGATACTTTTAAAATATAGGAAATGTGTGATTTTCAGGACTGGTTCTCCCGGCAGCAGCTTGTGATCTTGGTGCTGTTCATCAATATCTCGCTGGGCATCATGTTCTTCAAGCTACTCACGTAGCACCGGCGACAGGCGCGCCAGCGCCGGGACCTTTAAGCATTGTCAACCGTATTGTAAATATTTGTATAATTTCAACCAATAGCCAAACCATAAATTGATGTGCTACAAATCTGTAATAGCTATAATTTTTAATATTAAAATGTCCTTTTGATACGAGTTACCATTTTAAATGAAAACGACTAAATACATGTATTTATTTGTCGATAAGGACTACAATTTGTTGCTAGTGTAATTATTATTTGACGTTGTGCAAGTGTGCAGTTGTAAGACGATAATATAGTACTTTACACTGACGTCAATCCGTTTCATAGTATAGTGCGAGAGTGATATAAATGTGACCCTGTCGGAATCTCGAGTGTAAGGAGTACGAGTTGTTTAATGAGCCTGCATATTGTAGGTTTATATGCCTTCGATGATAGTGCTGAACGCCTTAAAATGCCTCAGTTGTTGAATTTAAAATTTTATGAACAACTGTTTAAAATTGATGGTCCACGTGGGAGATTAAATGTACACTTACATAATTTTAACAACTCTTAGAGTCAGCTGTTATATATTTCATTAATAAGCAACTGCGTTCGAGAACTAAGAGCAGTTGATTTGATAAGGTGAGAAGGTAGTATTTTTATAAAATTGTTTCAATATAATTCTACGCTCGCCACAACAAATTAAAGAAAAAAGGTATTTTATAATTTGTAATGATTTAAGGAAATAGTTTGGGCGGTTTATAAATTGTCTCAAAAAATTTATTCTCTTTCATATTGTACCTACGAACGTAACAAGTATTACTTACGTAATTACTAAGTGAAATGCAAAGCACAAAATTCTGTTAGTATAAAATTGTATATAGATAAATTTATTGACATTTACAAGAAATAAAGTATTTTAAATTTATGAAACTATGTAAGTAGATATTTACCAACATCGTTTTGCTTATTACTAAAAGTTAAATAGATAAAAAGCTGTAATGCTTTATTTTCCTATTTGATCAAATTTAAAGTTAATAAAATAAAAGTCCTTTAATAAAATACCCATTTTTTACAAAAAGTAGGCTTCTTTTTATACCTATGATGTCAATTCTCTCGTAATCGAAGATTTTGTAAAATAATACTTGTGAATTATAACATATATATCTATAATATGTCTTATTAAATTATTATTGGCATGGGAAGCGTGCGAAACTCACTTTTGTCAAAAGACGAAAGTTTGAAGAACAAGAACTCATTGAATGGATGAATTAAATTGAAGTTTTAAGACAATTTTCACGCAATTATATTATGTAAAATTGTAAGTTATATTTATAAGAATTTTAATTACTTGTATCGATTTTATCTACGTTTCACAAATAAAATATTTTAACAAAACTAAAATGAATTTCAGTTATTATCTCACTTTCTAATTTTATCGGGAATTGATATCGGTAACTAATAATAATTCTAAGTAAAATATTGAAAACATCAATGTAAAAAATATATAAAAAAAAAATGGATGCACGCGCGTGAGAAGTTATACTTCTTTAGCATCATTAAAAATATTTTTTAATTGCATGCAAATAATTAATAATTACAATAAAATAATTAAAGGCCTGGAAAAGGATAGTTAACACAGTCAATTAAGTTCAGTTTTAATTTGAAAAATTAAATAAATATTCAAAATATTCAATTAAAATCACTACTGAATTTAAGTTATTAGTCCATATGTAATTAGCACTTGTAAGTAACTAAAACACGTTGTGTCTATATAGAAACTAGAAACATGTGGATAAATATTATAAATATGAAAACAGTGATCAGAGGCGACGAGCGTGCCAACATTGTTTTTGACAACGCGATCATCTTATGGAGCTCCGTGGATCGTTCAAAGTACCTTTCGAACAGATGTCTTACCACCACTTAGTGGTTAATAATCCACCATTATTAGACACTAACATTCATAACGCGCCCGCGGCCAACTTCATGGTGTTACTATTGTGTTACAGTGATGCGCGCGCATCTAAAAATTTCACTCTCATCATTTTTTCTTAACGCGCCTAAAGAAGTATAACTTAACGCAATAACAGTACTTTTCAGACTGATTCTTTATTTTTAAATCAGAAATAATTATTTAGTCCCAAACTTAGCAGAATTTGTATTATGAAACTGAATAACGAACACAAGTAAGTATTTATGCAACATGATCAAATATTGATATTTATCACAAACAAAGCAACACTTCTTGGACACCTTAGATGGCAAAGCAGAACCGTTGCATCAACCAATCATCAATAATACAAAAAATACTTTCTTTTACAAGATTTTGAGAGATATAGACTTCTTCTTCTTCGGCGCTTCTTGACAGAGTGGTCGTGGTCGTCACATCAGGGTTGGTGGCGCGCTTCACAATACGCCGCAAATCCTCCCGCACTGCGGCCTTTCTCGTGCACTCGTGAAGTGGACCGTTCAGTGTCGCTTTTATCAGATCGGTCCAGCGCATTGGTGATCTGCCGCGCGCCCTTATTCGACTTTGCCCTGCACCACCAGTCGTTCCACTGACGCATCTTCTCGGCGTGAGATGTGGCCAAAGAAAGTGAGAACATAGGCGTACCCGGGTAGGGGCAGGGGGGGGGGGGGTAGCCCCCCCCCCCCTGGAAGATAAAATAAACGTCAATTTTCCTGGCAAGTGGGAACAAAACATCTTTTCAGTCAGATATTTTGATTTTTTTTTATCTATAAATAAATATTCTACAACATTCGATATAATAGCGACGCAATATAATTTATATCTCCCGCCAAACCGTCGTATCTCGTAGTTTCCGCTCCCGACGAGATAGTCAGAGCCATCTAGGATTAAAGCCGAATATAATTTGGAGAAAACAACGTCTAGCGCTAGCGCTATCTAGTTACGGACGACGACACTCGACAGTGCTTTTTCCAGTAAAGAAGAACGTTCTAGCATGGACTATTCTGGAAAGTAAAGACAGTGATAGCAAGTATGAGACAAGGATGGCAACAGAGTCGAGTATTTTCTACGTATTTCGGGAGCGAGAATATTTGAATATATAAGCGCGATCGTGAGGCAGAGCAAGGCAATTCAGTTCGAAATTTCGAATATAATTCAATTTAGTTCGGAGTTTAATACGAGCGAATATTTAATGCGCCATAATAGTGTCTTATAGTTTAGTTGCGGCGACACGAGATTTACGTTTACTGCGCAACAACTGGAAAGATTTACTCCGTCAAATGGATATCAGGAATTTCTTTGAAAAAGGTGAGTCAAAACAAAACACAAATGTATGTACCTAATATGATTATTTGATTTGTTTAAGGGGGGGCTCCTTGTAAGTATATAGGAAGTAATTGATATTTGAATGTGATGTTTTTATAGGTATCTTAATCTTTATTTATTACCACGTTTTAATTAGGTCCGTTTCTTGTCTGTTTGTCTGTTCGGTACAAATCTGACAATTGATTTTAAACTAACTTCCCGATCTCCGGATGAGCTAGAGACTTGAAATTTTGACTGTAGGCCAGAAGTGGATGACAATACAATATTAGATTGTTTTCTTGTCTATTTGTCAGTTCGGTACAAATCTTTCAATTGATTTTAAACTAACTTCCCCATGAGCTAGAGACTTGAAATTTTGACTGTGGTCAGAAGTGGATGACAATACAATATCAGATTGTTTTCTTGTCTGTCTGTTTGTTTGCTTGTTTGTTTGTTTGAAAGTTCAAAAAAATACACTATTTTTATGGCTAAAAAGCTGTTTTTTTTAGTTATGATTTTATTTTATTTTTAAGCATTTAACTGCTAGATGTTTAAATCTAAAGAAAAGTTTACTAGAAAAAAAATCCACGCGGACCAGGCAGCGGACGGGACTCGAACCCGCATCCTTCGCAATCCGGGCGAATGCGCTGACCATTATGCTACCACGACCCTATTAGCCGCGTCGAAATTTTCCTAGCCTTAAGCTGCAAGGCAGCGCCATCTCTTCGCATTGTAGATAACCCACAATGTCAAATGAATACTTTTTCAAGTATTAAACATTTGAAAGAAGAAATAGCAATTATAGTTACGATTTTATTTTATTTTTAAAATGTCATGTGTTTTTTTTAATATACTTACCACGTTTTTAAAGCGGACTAAAAAGTATAACGAAAAACGTGGGGTGCAAGAAAAAAAATAAGATAGGTAATGATAAAAAGTGTAAAAAGTACCAGTCGTTGAGAAATCTCATGTTAGAAGAGCTTTCTCATTGACTGCTACTTTTTATGCTTAATTATAATTTAAAATGCTTAGATCAATTTATACGGCATTAGAAAATATTATTTTATACTGTTTAGTCCGCTTTAAAAACATGGTACATAATTTTTTTTTTCGTTCTATGCCTAAACACCGTAAGAGTAATTATGTTTGTGTATCCTTTTTTTAGGGACAACACGGGAAAAAAGAAACAAAAGTCGGGATAGTAGCAGTGGAGGAAGCGATGAAAATGACAACCATGATAAAACCCATGTAATGCCAAGATCATTGCATGCTAACATTGGACAAGCGTCACATTCTCCAGCAGAACCTGTAAATATATCTGTTGCCGATTATTCTTTTCCATCGACGTCCCAGCAAACTTATGACGTCAACGTCGATCCTGAAATTATAGTGGACGATGGCTATCATGAAAATGATCTGGGTCGTTATGTTGGGTTGGCTACTCAGCTATCGACGGAAAAGAAAAGGGAGTTGTTACAACATCCTTGGATCCCGCCCAGAAATTATGATTTTGAAAGTGATGTAAGCCATTTGAAAAGGTCATTTAATAATGCTTGGTTGGATCAATATGCACCATGGCTAGTATATTCCAAGCGACTAAAAGGCGCTCTTTGTAAGCATTGTGTTTTGTTCCCTCCGCCCATCAGCACTGTGAGAGGAATTTTGGGATGACTGACCATAAGGTCAGGCCATTATATAAAGTTCAAAAATATGCATGAAGACTGCCGAAAGCATGCAACGACCAACCTTCACCTAACAGCGACAAATGCTGCAAAAAAAATCCTTGAAAATGTTCCTGTAGACATCCAACTGCAAAGTGGACACCAAAAAGCAATCGATGAAAACAGACAAATATTGTCATCAATTATTTCTTGTGTAGTATTTTGCGGTACACATGATATGCCTCTTAGGGGAAAACAAGCAGAAGAGGGCGTTTTATTAGATTTATTAAAGTTGAGAATCAATTCAGGGGACGACAAATTAAAGAGTCACCTGGAAAAGTGCCGTCGCAATGCAGTTTACACATCGCCAAAAATACAAAACGAATTGATTAATTTATGTGGCGAAGTTATTAAGAAGAATATGATGAGTGAGGTTCAGAAGACCATGGCTTACGCAGTCTTAGCTGATGAAACAGCAGACGTAGCTGGGAAAGAACAGCTATCAATAGGCGTGCGGTTCTACGACGAAAGCAAAAGGAAAATCAGAGAAGAACTTATAGGATTCGTTGAACTAAAAGCACAAAATGCTTCAGCAATTGCCGAAGCAATTGACAATTTCTTGATTAGTTCTAACCTCCCAACAGAAGATTGCGTAGGGTATGGATTCGATGGCTGTTCTACAATGGCAGGGAAAGAGGGTGGCGTACAAGCCATTTTGAGAAAAAAATATCCTCGTGCTTTATATTTTCATTGCTCAAGTCACAAACTCAACCTTGTTATGAATGATGCGAACGCAGTGCCAGAAATTAGAAATACTGTAGCTAATGTTAAGGATGTTATAACGTTTTTCAGAGAATCGACTACTCGTCGAAACTTCTCTCCAGGCCTATCACGATTGTGTAAGACGAGATGGTCCGAAAAATATAAATCAATCAGAAAGTTTTCTCAACATTTTCCAGAGCTTGTGAAATCTCTAGAAACTTTATCCGTAGAGGGAAATTATGCCACCAGAAAATCTGCATATCAGTTGCATTCAGCCGTTACAAAACCAGTGTTTATTGTTGCTCTACAAACAATAGCCAAATATTCAGCAGTTTTAGAACCAGTAGTTAACGCACTACAAGCTAAATCGATCGACATTATCTCGGTGGGGGAACACATCAAAAATATCAAGGACATTCTGAGAAATGACCGCGAGTTTCCTGATAAAATAAGTAATGAAATGCTTCAAAAAGCGTAAGCTGTTGCAATGGATTTGAACATAGAAATTTCGGTTCCACGTCTTGCTCATAAGCAAACACATAGAAGTAATCCGCCATCTGACAATGATAACGAATATTGGCGGCATTCTCTTATAATACCATACATTGATTCACTCATTTCATCGTTGAATATTCGATTCTCCCAAGAAAATACTCCGGCGTTTGCTTTAAGTAAGCTACATCCCTTGTATATGACCAAAACCAGCATTACAGACTTACACAAGAACT